GCACTCAGACTCAGATCACTCGGTGTAACCACCATCAATCGCTATGCACACACAAAAAGACAAAGGCTGCAAGTCCAATTGTGCTTCTTTCCCTAAGTTACAGCATATGACAGGAGAACAAAAACCTCTTTATATTTAATCACACCACTTTAACCATAGAAGACGCAGAGTGACAATGAAATACTCAGGGCATTCTGCTTCGTTGCACGAAACGGTCTTTTCAGCTGATCCCAGTTCACTGCAGTCCTTTCCACCGTTGGATGGCGGCGGATTGGTGCATGTTCTTGTCAGTGACTTTTCTCCTCCGCCGCACGACACGCTACATGTAGATTCAGACCACTCAGTGTATCCGCCATCGATTTCTTTCAAGAGAGAAAAAATGAAAACATGACTTTCACTTGATTAGGAAGCTGCAAGGGCAAATTAGATGTTTTGACTAAACACTGTTGTAAACAATGATGTTCTTTCATTGACTCACCGTTACCCATAACAACTCAAAACCACCCCTTCATTTCACTTGCCTGGCTGGTCCGTTTAAATCATTTATACTTGAGACATGCACAAAGGATGCACTTAGAAATAGGATCGACACCATTTTCTTTGCTCGTCACCACCAATTCTATTTGTTACTCCCCTTACCTAGCAGTTTTCTGTTTTTAACGAGCTAATGAACGTCTACAGCTTGTAGGCAACAACGTACCAATTCCCTCTGTGGTGTTGTTGTTTATTATTATTTTTCAGAACATTACAAACAAATTTACACAACCCGCATATAGCATTACCTAGTCTTGGCGGGTATAAGAGATAAATAAGTAAATACTACACATTGCAAGCTAAAGATGTTTGATTACCACAATAAGCTAAAGAGATTTTACAATAAACTAAAGAGATTTTATTACTGCAATATTATTGGGGTTATAAGCCATGCATTATAGTTTATACATTATAAGCTAAAAAATACGTACAGTTGTCATACAAATTAAATACCGCCTGAGCTCTGCTTCTGCTCTAGTTTGGACTGACTGAAAATCTGCTTGCTCATTTTTGGGAGATCGTTGGTCTCTCTCAGCCTGTGCTGCTGCTGATGTTGACTCGTCGCCATCTTTGTTAGCTAACTGTGATTTGAGTTTCTTGATCTCTTCAGCGAGATCTTCAATTTGAGCTTTAACCTCTAGATTCTTCTTCTTTAACGATCAATTAGGGTCACTCGGCATATTGATGATTGAAAACTTGACAATTAGGTCTGTTCGTGTTCCCCAGGCCTTAGGTCTCACGCTGACTGTCTTCTGAACAAAGTGCTTTAATTTGTCTTCTTCGTGGTATGACTCATCGTTGAAATTGCTTTCGATAATGTCTTCCTTTGCAAAGGTTATTACAGCAAAATGATTTCCTGACGGGGAAACACCTTTCTTTTCCACCAGCTCATCGATGAGTTTTATCTTATCACTGCGTTGCCTGGAGTTCATACTTCGTGATACGTCAGCCAGAATTGCGATATCCAGTATTTGATCTTGACAGCCACCTACCGGTAGTAACATGATTAATTATTAATTATTAATTATTATCCTTTTGTGAGTCGAAGTGCAAACAAAGTTACGCAGCCTGAGGAAAAACTTCGTGTCTCGTATGTTGCGCATGGTCACAGCAGAGATTAAAGTTGGCCTTTAAGATAGCGCACGACATAATTGTACTGAGCCGATACACTCGTAGATATCTGTTGCGTATAATTGGGTCTGATATTCATGGGAAAATGCAAAATAACAAACCATCTGCCTGAGATAAATCTGGGGATGAAAAAGAAATGAAATACTATTAATTATAATACCCAAAAACAATATAAAATAAAATATTGATGCTGGTAGCGTCCTAAATGATATGGTCCTAAGGATCTCGAGGGCAACTAAAAAAGAAATATTTTTTAGAACAACTAGAATTATAACATAGATGTTAGAGCGCAGACAAAGCGTTAAAGGATAGTTTGACCGGTGACCAACCCAAGGCAATGTGACATTGTGGAAACAACCCTACAGGTCTTTTAAAAACCCGTATAGTTATGAATAGTGATGATGATGATAATAATATAGATAATGACCATGTATCAGTGACTGTCAAGAACGTTTGATCGGGTTGTTTGATCTCCCTAATAAGATGTCGGTTGAAACAATTATAATCTCTTATGATAACTCGAACCCTGCTAGCTCGAATCATATTCCTTTCCATTGGGAGTTTGAGTTAGCGGAGTTCCTTTGTAGATGATTCCTCTGTACAAAATTTATGCATAAAATGCTTCCTACCTGAAGACAGGGCCAAAATTAAGATGATACAGACCCAAAAAGTTTCCATTGTCAACAATTGCTCGAATTCTGGAAGACAATAGCAGTGAACATTATTTCAAAGTGTGACATGTGCATGCTTTAATTTATGATTAGATTCCATGAATGATGAACAAAATTACTATTGCAAATATCACCCACATTAAGGAGCCCTCGGCCCCTTCATTAAAATTGATTCTGCTACATCAAAACGCTGGTCACTTTGTTTGTTGGCTTTTTCAGACACAACTCACCAGGTGTGATATTCGCCGGAATGAAAAGCTTTGTTGAGTGACTTAGAATATGATTAAATCTGTTGAATTTTGTGATGACCATACGTCATGCCAGTTAAACTCCAAACTACAAAACGGTCCCTTACAAAATGCTCATCCTCTCCAAGTTCTTTGCCATAATATCAACATTTGACATTAACCAACCTGGTTACCTTTCATTGACGACTACACCGAAGATGTGATGTTTTTAGCATTAAATCCTAAGCGATAAATGTCAGAAAATTTCGTCGAATTATCCATCACGCGATCTAACTTAATCTGTCATAAATGCGATGGTTTGTTCTTGAACAACAGGTTTTTAATGAACACTTAAGAAGCGACTCATTTTTTGTTACTATTTTCCTCATAGCAACACTGATGACTAGAAGGGCATATTTCTAAATTCGAACCTGTCAGTTGTTATGAAGATTGTTAAAATATAGGAAACGGGTGACTTTAAGGCCACGGATTCGAACCACTCATCTACATCCCTGAAATGTCCTGCTAACCAGGTGGGCTTCTGAAGTGAAGGACTGTACTCCGATTTTTTTTTCATTTTTTTTTTTTTTACTTAATACGTATCTTTACCATCGTTTCCTATTCGCCGGGGGCTGTGATTGGTCGCGAAAATGTTGGGAACGCTTTTGAAGGTTTACTAAATGTTCTTCGCGGAGTGTGTGTGTCACGGCTCGGTGATTTTCCCACAAATTGAAATCTCCTCTCGGGTCGTTGATCACAGAGAAATGAAAGAGTACCCAAGGGTGTTTTTGCATTTTTATAGGGCAGCAATTCTGGGTGGTTCTACATGGCCCCATTATCCTTTAGCTCCAATTCCTTGTTGGATCAATACTATCACACTCTTCCGTTTTCTTGCTCAAAAATACACATAGTTTTAAGAAACTGGATGATCAATCGCTTCTCAGCAAATTTTGATCAGGATTCGTTTTGATGCGAGGCTAACATAACAACGGGACAGCTTCTTACAAACACCCTTCTATCTAGCTTAAATGCCTTAGACCTCCTTGTAAATGAGAATGTTGACCATGTTCCTTACACGTATCATTGAATGATAATCAGTAGGAAGATTACGTTTTTTGTGCAGTTTTGAATAATTATGACCATCCAGGTTTTTTAGATCGGAGATGAGATTACATTTACGCCTTTTTATCAACTTTAATTTACGCTGGTTAAGGACTTAGCATTAAACCAGTTATCTGAAAGCTGTTTCCATCTCATCATAGTAAAATCAAACTTTTCTAACCCTTGTTACATCGTAGAGCACACTGCACCATGGAGTGGATGTTTTACCCTTAAATCAAAAGTCACGTAACAAGGACATTTTTCGACAGCACCCACCAACAGTTACGTCCATATGCTTATGTACTTGCAATT